TGTTTAGAAACAATTTCAAAAGACAGAGTTTGTTCACCTTTGGTTGTGAAATGGTAACATGGTACTGTGGATCATGTGTTCATGTTGTTATTAAGAAAGTTAGTCTTTGCTATAAAGAGAAGCAGTAATGTGTGTGTGTCTTAGTTAGAAGAACAGGTACCATGGTGATAATGAATCACTTGAGTGTAGAGGACCCAGACGATGGCTCTCCACTGCTGCCCGAGGCTGCGGAGGAGGCAACGCCAACGCCTGACTTTCACAGACAGCGAGCGCTCACAAAGACTGAGTCCAGGGAATTTTTCCTCAGCAGGTACATTACTCTCTGGAAGTACTATATTTATTTGGTGGAGCTGTTATTTTATGCTATGAAGCAAGTTCTGTTGTCCTTTTTCTCCGCTGTACAGGAGTGAGAACCTTGCCTTCAGTCTGGTGCTGCTGATCGGATGCTACTCAGCTATTTTGATCCCTGCCTACTTACCCTTGGATAAAGTGGCAACTCATAGCGATGACTACCAATATCCCAAAGATGTGGTATGGATACACACCTTAGAAATCATTTTGGATCATTTCTTCACTCTAACCACGCTTCTCTCTACGTTCGCCCATATCTTTAGGTCTTACTAAATAGGTCAGCCTCCCTTCTGTCAGGGCCCTGTCTGCCTCATTGGTGTCTGAACCACCTCAAGCCCCTGTCCTGTTCTGCAGGCCTCCTAGACATCCCCGTGTTTGTGCAGCAAAACAGGCATGTGCCCTGGGATCTGTCCCCTCCTCTGGGACTCCAGGGCAGTGAAGAGCATCTGGCCCTGGCTCTTGCCTCCCTGCCTCAGCCTGGCCTGCCTCCATCACTAAGAGGCGAAGGCAGATGCAGGCGATGTGTGGTGGTGGGAAACGGAGGGGTTCTTCATGGGAGCCATCTTGGATCCCATATAGATCAGTATGACATCATTATCAGGTATGTGTGGCAGTGTCAGGCAGATTGGGAAAAACACATGAAGAAAATATTGCATTAAAAAAAAAAAGTAATCAATTTCAGAGATTTTTTATCTCTGTATTTCTTATCTCTGTTACCAGGCTGAATAATGCTCCAGTTCCTGGCTTTGAGAAAGATGCTGGTTCCCACACCACCATCCGTCTGATTTACCCAGAGGCAGCGCCTCACTCCGCAAACGAGTACAAAAAGACCACCATGGTTGCTCTGGTGGTCTTTAAGAGCCTGGACCTGGACTGGCTCACTGCTGTCATCACCAAACAGCGTCTGGTAAGTCGACAACACAGGACCCATAGGACACAGAAATGGTGTATTACATAAGCCACAGTGTCACTGCATCTCATGCAGCCACGCTTCAATCACATCATCACACTCACAGCCTCACATGCTGTACACCCTTTTGTGTTGTTTTTCCAAAGAGCTTCTGGTCCAAATTATGGTTCTGGAGGGAGGTGGTGGATGAGATTCCCCTGAGGCCGGAGAACTTCAGGATCCTCCACCCGGAGATTATTCACAAGACAGGACAGGCCCTACAAAAATATACTCAGAAACAGGGAAATGTGAGTTCTAACATGCATATTCTATATTTAATTCCCTGTTCACAAGTTGTGATACACTTTCATATTCCGTTCATGTGTTGTTGTATGCTTTCAAACAAGGCTGCATGTAAAAAGAAAAAAGGATACTATAACACGTCTGTGAAGCCTAACCTGTCCTGAATAATATATGGACATACCAGACTGACACATGTATTGACTTTGCTAGCAATTAAGAGAGTGAAAGATGAAAACATAACCTTTAATTCAAGATGCTCACATGCTGATTTTATTACCCACTGCCCTTTATAAGCGATTAATGATGTTATGTTGGATATTTCTTAAAGAATATACTGCTGGAAGAAATGGATCAAGAGTATTTTCTCTCCTCAAGTAGATGCTGCCAACACTAGGTGCCAGTGCAGTGGTGATGGCTTTACAGCTGTGTGACCAGGTGAGCCTGGCAGGGTTTGGGTACGATATGCAGCACCCCGAGGCCAGGCTTCACTACTATGAGGCCATACGCATGAGCGCAATGAAGTCTCAGGTAGGTTTGGATTGAAACAGTGGTACACATTTTAAGACTCATGAGCCTCCTGTTTGGACTCCAGTGATGTATTTATGGCTCATTTTTATTTCCATTTAGGTGGTGCATGACGTCAGTGCTGAGAAACTCTTTTTGAGAGACCTGGTGGCTTCAGGAGCTGTGACTGACCTCACAGGAGCTCTGTGAGTCCGCGGGGGAAAGGACTGATAATATACTGAACTCCACCACCCCTCCCTCTCACTGTGAGCTGGTATGGGGTCATTTATAACTGTCCCCGGCTGGAAGAATCCTACACAGCGTGGAATGACCTTTAAAATGCTCACCAGTGTGTCCAGGGTTGACTGATTTAACTCTAAAGGTTAAACAAGCTCATGATTGTAAAATCTAACCTATACATATCCAATTTAAATTATTTTATTAAATCAGCAGCTGTTATTAGTCATATGGATGAATAATTGTGCCATCACACATAGTAACTCGCTCAACGATTAGCTTTGTAAAATGAATGCAATGGTGAGTGGTTCAAATAGTGCTATTTCAATTCTGTTTACAACAACTCAAACGAGTGAATGTGAGACTACTGATACTTATTGTAAAAATATCTATATTAAAGAGAGACATACAGTAATTACTGTTGCATGTTTTATTCATACAAATTCGCTCATGAGCATCTAGCAGGAGTAAAGGAAAATGGACAGTATCTGCATTTATAAAAATCTATCAGCTGCAAATTTTTAAATGTGAAAAAACATATAGTATTACTAATAAATAGGAAACAGTTCAAAAATTATTTCAAAAATATATTACAATTTATTAAAAAAATTAAAGATATTGTCAATATGCTTCATATAAGACACATACCAGTGCACAATGGTGTTGGATTGTGCTAATCATAAATGTAAGTGCTTCTAATAAATAATTTTAGGTTAACTTATCACAGGATAAATAACCTCATACTCAATGAAAATGGTGGTAACATGAAACACAGGCACTGGACACATTATATATCTATGGATATGTTTTTGTTTTTTTTCAGTTCATGGAAATACAATGAATGTTTACGTTGGTTATTGTTACTCAGTTCAAGTGTGTGGGTGAGTCTACAGCAGTGGATTGCGCGAAGGCTCCCACAGTTTGCTCGCCAGCTGTCTGCAGTGCTGGAGGATGATCTCAGTGGGGATGACCCCCAGGTGAACCGTCAGCAGCTCGTAGCACTTCACCACCTCACCCTGGTGATTCTTACTGTAGTACCGCAGCAGCTTCCTGCTGGACAAATTACATTCTATAGTCAGCAGCACTCTCTTTTAGATTAATCACATCTATTTTTGTCATCCACAGTTGTTTACCTGTAGTAGTCCCAGGCAAGCATCCCAATTGGGGCAGAGTCATCAGGCAGGATGGGTATGTCCCCTGCCTCTAACTTGTAGCCCTGATTAATCAGATATAAGGCATTATAAGATGCTGTTTTAAAACTTGTATAGTATGCCAGAGTACTAAATTGATTTATTTTTATTACTGGATACTAAATAACGACAAACCAGCAACTTACTGTTTCATTTTCAAACCAGAGGAAGTAGCAGAAGTAGAAGTCTCCATCGCGCAATGTGACAGTGGAATAACCCTTCTGGAGATAGCGTCGTGTTGTGCTGACCAGATTCCACACCTTCAGTATGGATTAGTGAAGAGAAATTCATTTAAGTGAGTATACTATAGGAACAGTTCAATTTTGGGGAAATATGCTCATTTCTCAGTTCTACGATATTTGTATAGGAAATATAAAGCTAGAGACTGTTTGTTTAGCATAGCACAAAGACTGAAAAAAGAAGGAAAGGAATAGCAGCGAGTCCGGCTGCTCATTGTATGCATGTTAAGAAATGTGGGAAAAAAAAACGACGAGTCCAGATTGCCTGGCAACTGCTTCCCCATTTCCAGGCTTTATGCTAAGCTAAACTAACAGGCTGTTGGCTCCCACTACATATTTAGCGCACAGAAGGGAGAGTGGTAACAACCTTCTCATTACCTTTAAGAAAAGAAAAGAAATAGGCATATTTCCCAAAATATTGAACTATTCCTTTAAGAAAACAAATTTAGTCTTGTATTTGGTCATCCTGACAATATGTTGAACCCTAACCAAGAGCATTAAACTATTAAATCTGACTGGTTCTATTGCTGAAAGCAGCAATAGATTAAAATGAATCTTAAATTACTTGATAAGATGAACAGTTCCTGGTGCCCTCTTGACCCATCAATCAGCAAGTTAATGGCACAGTAATTGCACTTCTAGTATGATTGACCTTGCTTTTGATGAACTGAGCCACTGGTCCCTTCCCCAGCTCAGACGTGGTGCGTTCCGTGATGTTGAGCGACGGCGCAATCATTTGGCCAGTGGATCGGTCCACACAGATAAAATGGATGAGGCCTGGGAAATCCTCCAGGTAAGTGAGATTAATTAGGTCAAGGTCAATACACTCAGGATAACAGTGTGTTATATTTCAAAAAGATTTCTAGTCATTTGCATGTTGATAAAAGCCATAAAATATGCATGCACTTCCAGAAATATTACTAATTTAGATCAGAGACAACATGGCATCACAGTGAGTAAAATCATTTTGCTGACAGGATATGACACCATGGTGATATTCCTCTTGCTTTTCACCAACAGGAAGTCCTTCCAGTCCATCAGTTTCTCTCTGGGAGAGACAGAGAGATTGACAGGAAAGGGTAGATCAGAAAGGCATTGACAAAAAAAAAGACAGAAAAAGAAAGAAGATATGAACAATTAAGGGCACTATCTTGCTTGGTTTGTATGTCCTAAAAAAGGAATTCAACTGATTGAGATTTGAAAATTTACAAATAAGTAAAAAGTAGTGTTAGTAAGTCAGCTGAATGATACGCACTGCACCATAGTCTGGGCTCGTTCCTGCAGACTGGGGGAGAGACGTTGAGGAATGTCGGCCAGTCCAGAGTCAATAAGAAAACACTGTCGGTATATTCCACACAGCTGGGTCTTCATATGCTTACACCACGGGATAAGACTAAAACAAAAACATCAGTGTAATCATTCAAAAGGCCGTCCAAGCGCTTTGCTATGACGCATTTTGGCCAGCAGAGTGCGGCAGCAGACTTACTCTTTATTGAACCCAGGTCCTCCTCTGGTGAAGGCTCGGTTCTTGAACTCTGTCCAGACATTCTGTAACTGTGCAGACTGGATAGAAAATGAAAGCACAGAAGCAGATTTTTGTTATTTGTCCAGGTCCAAACACTAAAAATATTTTCATATGATTAGTCAGACAAAAACTGAGCATTTTGGCCAAGTAATTATTTCTATGAGGTGCTTCTCTTTTACTGGATTAACTAGTTGAGGTTCATGTGGTGGTAACAAAACAAATCTTCCAGCAAAAGATTTTATATTATAATACAGTATCATTCTTTCAGGAAGGTACTCTGCCATGAAAAAGGATGTTGATATAGAACACACATAAAAACACAAACCTGTATTTCACTGGGCCCCAGGGCTTTAATGAATTTATCCAGTTTACTGCGGATGTCGTGTATAGTCGGCGGTCCTCTAGTAGCAGCAGAACCTTCTTGGCCTTCACTTAAACGCTTTTCCAGCTTGGCAAAGGCCTCCAAAAACTTATACACCGACATGGCCACTGCACTGGTGGGAATCTAAGAGAAAAATATAGATGCTTACGTGATTCAACAAGAAAGCAAATATGTTTTTCAACGCTGCATAAAATTGTAGTTAAATACATCCTGATAAATGTCCCACCCGTGTGCCCCCTGCTGGCTACAAAACAACATGTTAAGACTGACAATGGGAGGTAGGGAGGAAATGACAAACCTTAGTTAGCAGCACCAGTGTGATGCCAGGCCACAGTGGCAGACAGTACATGGAGTGAGGCATCATGGGATACAGCCCTTCTTTGAGTGAGACCTCTAAGAAGACTCTGCGAGGGGTTGAAGGGTCAGGTGGAGGAACCTCCAGAGTCCGCAAGCTGTCTTCTGCCATCTGAAGACATTGTTATTTTATCTAGTCGAGAGGTTTCATTCCAACCAAATCAGTTTATTTTGCAAAGAAATAGACACTGAAATATACTCTCACCTGGATGTCTGGGTCCACAAACTCAAACACAGGAGTACTTCCCCTCACTGGCTTGTCTGGTGACACAAAAATGAAGACAACATCCAACATATTGTTGTTTAGAAATTGTCATATTGCTATGGAGAAGGAGATAGGAGCTCAATACAAAACCCACCTGAGCTGCTTGAGTCTCTGTCTGTAGGGGAGGGCTCTGGGGTGTAAAAACTTTCAGGACCAGAGCCGGATGTACTCTCAACATCCTTCACAGACACACAATACGCACAGAAAGAGACAATAAACAATTAGAAACCAGGACAGCATTCTGTGGTGGTGCTGTGTGAGCGGCTGTCAGCATGTTCTACCTCAGGACCTGAGTCTTCCAGGTCTACGTTGCTAGGATACATATTCTGTGCCATGATGATGAGGGCCAGGAGGTCTGAGGTGGGGAGCGTGCTTGCATTGCGGCTAGAATGAACGGAGGAGAAATGAAGAAAATCTTCAATGAATTTAAATAAAGCTTCTTCACTGACTTAGAAGCAAAGAAATAGAGCAAGTTGTGGGATAAAAATGAGTTTAATGAAACATCTGAACCTGGAGTAGAAGGCGAGCAGTTTGGTGTGAACCAGGATGAAGGCGTGCAACACCTCCTCTCCTGCTCTCTCTACACTGCTGTTGAGCTGCTGAACCAAACGGCGCTCCAGGAATTCGATGCACTGCTCACACAGTGTGGGGTGGATCAGCCTCTCCACTGCCTGAGAGAGGGAGGGGACCACATGAGAGCGTGGGTGATAATGACTTTTTAACCATTGGGCATCCTAGCATTTGTACTTAAACGTTTGTACTTAAATGTTTCAGACTATGAATTGACTAGTGTCCAAAATGAGAAAGAGGACTGAAGGATAGCTGAAGGGGTATGATTCATTAATGGAACATTAAAATGACTACCTCCCCTTAAAGGGGTTAGAAAAAGTGAGGTGTTCTGTTAAGAGTTTGAATAATCCAGAGAAATGCCTTAAAAATAGGCCCATGTCTGCTTCTTTAGGATACCAACTTAAATGTCAAGACTATATGAGAGACCTTTAACACACATGCAGTTCAACACACGTATGTTAAAAATCATAGGTAGCAGAATTACTAACATAAACACCCAATGAAAGGGAGGCTTTTAACAGTAAGACCATTGGCCTTCTGGCTGTTTCTGCCATCTAGTGGTTAAAATGGTCCTAGATATGATGTAGCAATGCACCATAGATTGTCAGGGCTTCACTAACGTGATGTGAATCAAAATCCAAAAGACACTTCAAATATATATATATAATAACTCAATAACTCACAGACACATCATGAAACAACAAACAAACAATGGTAGTTTGTGCATTATCATAACACACTGACAGCTCAATAAAACTCTGGCTTTGCTTTATTGCATACAGGAATCCTATGGGGACAAATATATCAGCTTGAATCTGTATCAAGGTGGAAAAAGTCTGCACTCCACTGTAAAGCTATGTTTGGTATCAACAATCAAGCTGCTGAGTGAACATTTTGCAGAATCTATACCTAAATTGTCCGAACCAACAAAACAAGAAGGAAATTGTGCTGCTAAAAAAAGCATTTAAGGCCTGCTGTATAAAGCAGTGATGCACTGCACCTCCACTAAGAAGCTCTGGTCATTCTCTCGGAGGTGGCTGTAGGTCTCTAGCAGGCTCTGGAGATGCTTCCACAGCCTCGCCCTTTGGTCCGTGTCCTGAGGACGCAGCCTGGTGACAAAAAGCACGGTTCATTTATCAACCGGACGCCACCTTAAAACCGTGCAGCATCAAGCGGAAGCACAAAATGTCTTACTCTTTCCTGAGGAGGTTACTGCTGAGGGTGACCATGCCAAACATGACCTCAATCATCTTCTTCATCACATAGATCTTCCTCCTCAGATCATCCTCTCCCTCCTCGCCATCTCCATTCACAGCGATGTAGAGACACTCATCGAACTGAGGAGGATACAAAATGACCTAATTAGCGTGAATAAAGTGGAGAGGAAGATGGTTAAAACTATTCACTAGGGAATGAATATCTGCACAGGAAAGATCTAAGAGGCTCTTGACATTGAAAAGACCTTAAATAACTGTTCGGATTTGATATTTGTACCATGCGCTGCATGAGGACAAAGCTTGGTTTGATTCCTTAACAAGACTCACATGACAAACATGACGCTTCACTGTAAGAGAGGCCTGCATTTAGATCACAGTGCTATTGATGTTAGCAAAGGGAAGTTCAAGAATGCAGGAATCTGTATATGTGAAGGCATTTCAAAACAGGATCAAAAGAGATAGAAAATAAAATCCCATCCTTTTTATCTTTTGTGTCAAAAATTTTTTTTTATCATCATGAAGAGAGCTAATCTGGGGATTTGTGCTTTTATTTTGGCAGATGGGCACTACCTGGTGTAGGACGTAGATATGGTTGTTTTCTGTGGTGAAAGAGGTGTAGTTGTCACCCAGCCTGTCCACCATGGTGCTACAGGAGATGATGATGGGGGCAAACAGGGTGCTGATGCTGTCCTCAAAAGCTGGAAGCTAAACATTAAAACCAAGAGAAAAAGGTTAGAAATGAAGAGTTATTTTGACAGCTACAGGAAGTCAGTTAAAAAGCATGTGCAGAGTTCATCTCTTGAGTTTCTTCCTTCTTACCCCCTGGCCCTCCTCTTGAGAAGCCCCATACTGCTCCTGGATATTCTGCTGAAATTCGGGGTCAGTCCAGTGGAAGAGGACCTCTGCGCTCTCACTAGCTATCAGCAAGCACTTCATCTGGACCACAGACGCACAACTCCTGTCCTGCTTCACTGTAGTGTCCTATTTTACTCCAACCACTCCACATGCATTATGCTGTAAAGAAATAGGTTTAAAATATTGAGGAAACAGACAGAGAAAAGAGGCTGGGGAGGGATTTTATAAAGCACAGAGGTCTGGCATGTTACTATTTTACAGCTGCGACATGTAAGATTACACATTACTAGTTACACATTTAACAATTTGATTTATCATTTAACATGGCATTCAGGTCAAGGTGAATATCTATCTGATTTTCAGTATATTTCACAGCCAGTGTATTTTCATATTGAATATTCCACCAGAGATATTTCTTTGAAGGAATCAAAACAATCCTACCTGCCTCTTTATATCATCATTAATTTAATGTAAACACAAATAATTAGCCATGAGTTTATTTTCACTGAATCAGTGGAATATTGTCCTCACATAGGAGCATTAGACACTGGAGAAACTGAAAGCATGGGGAAGGTTTTTCCCACACTGCTGTCTTTTGGCCTAAAATAAACAGTCTCCAGGAGCAGATATTTTATCAGTGACAGCCTCTGGTGAGAGCACAGATACAAATGAAAGCGAGGCCAAAAATGCCAACAGTCAGAGATGCCAGAACACCATCAGTCAAAGGAGATTTAAGAGCTCTCTGTACTCCCATTTGCAGAAGATGATTTGCAATTGCCAGATATATTCTCATTGTCCTCAAGAAAAGATTTAAAAAATGAGCTGATGACTGATGATAACCGTGTGGTACGGTCATCTTTAGAGATCAGCCTTAATCTGTTGATAAATGCATGACTGGGCTTTGTAAACTTATCGCCCCCTGAAATCGGCTTACTCAAAAAAAAACTCTGCATCTGGATAGAGTCCTTCATTTAGTGTTAATCTTGGCATATCTGAGGCTTTTAGATTCAGTTCTTTGCAACTCTTTATATTGACATACAATCATCATCAGGAAATACAAATTGTGAAATGTTTTTGATCAAGTTTCACCATCACAGACAGGCAGAAAAATGTGATTTCAACACTTCCTTAATATTATCAACCATCATGTAGTGACTGTTGAAATGAACCCAGTTCTGATCATTTGATATCAGCTGTTTCTTGTGTCTACAAACTAAAGGCCACCTGTGCAGCCAGACACACAGCCCATGTTAACCCATACTCTAACATTAACAATCTATAACTCTACATGTTTCAGTTCATTCCAAAGCTCAACAAATCCGATCCGTAAACTATACCCCGCGTTTTACCTACAGCCTGAAGTTATTTCCCCTTACCAAACTTTCAATTTCCCCCATGCATAGGCTCCTGACTGTCCATGAACGCAACATTTATAGGTTATTTTACAACAAGTAAAAACTCACAGTGTTTCCTGCGCCGGATGATTCCAGCATCTCTGTCTCTGCTGCCCAAACCTGCAGCCTCTCCTCGGTTGTTTCTCGCTGCTGCTCTCTCAATCCAGCAGCTTTCCTTCCGCAACACAGCCGCCGAGTCATGTGACATCAGCGGGGCTTTGCAGCAGGAAGCTTTGTGCTGATCTGAAAACAGATAGAGACGTCAAGCTGTTGAGGATCCTTCTGTAAGACTGCTCCTGGATAAGTGGCTGGTTCTTGTCAATGGGCTGTCCCTCGAGGAGCCTGGTGATCAGTGAGGCAGGAGAAAGTCATGTGCTGGTGGTTAAAGTAGGGCGCATGACCGAGAGGCTGTGCTGTAGACAATAGTTTGGTATTTGTGGAATGCAGCTTAGTTAGTGTAGTGCTCTCTAAGAAAATAAGCTTAATAAAGTAATCTTTTAGTAAAAGTTGTAGGAAAAGTACACAAAAAAAACACAGCACTGTGCACTAGTGCTGATATTTAAATATTTATATTAATAATATATTTTGTAGTAATTATATTATACAGAGAAACAATACAGAAATACATAATAGAGAGAGTAAGGCCTGTGGAAAGGATATTTTTACATAAACCTCTAATTTAATTAAATATTAAATACAGTTCTGATTGATAAGGAGTTTTGATCCATCAATCTATTATCTTCCATTTATCCGGGGTGAGGTCGTGGTGGCTCTCACGAGCAATGTTTGTCAGCTTCGACTCGGGGGATCCTGAGGTGTTTCAACCAGAGATACATGATCCCTCCAGCGAGTTCAGGATCTATCTCAGGGTCTCCTCCCAGTTGGACGGGCCTGGAAGACTCCAAAAGGTATGCACCCAGGAGGCATCAGATACCCGAACTACCTCACCTGGTTCCTTTTGAAATGAAGAAACGGCGGTATCTTTTAGATAGGCTACTTAAAATCATTCACTTGGAACAGCCACTCCATAATTTTCCAGCAGAGGCCACTTCACACTCAGCTGCAAACCACAAAGGTCTGATGAAGTCAAAAGGGCCACATCGTCTGCAAAAAACACAATTCTGAGGTCTCCAAACTGGACACTCTCCTCACTTCTGAGATCCTGTCCACCAATATCACAAAAGCAAAAGTGACATGGGGCAATCTTGGAGTCCAACAGTCACTGAAAACTTATTTGACTTTGTGATGAGAATAAGGACACAGCTCTCACTTCAGTTATGCAAGGATGGGATGGCTCATAGCACTGACCCATACCCCAGCACACAGCCCCACAGGATTCCCTAGGGGACATGGTCGTAAGCCTCCTCCATGTCTACAAAACATATGTAGACTGGATGGGCAAACTCCCATGACCGCTTCAACAACCCTGCAAAGGTAAAGAGCTGGTCCACTGTTCCACAGCCAGGACAGAACCTGCATTGCTACTCCTGAATCTGCGGATCAGTTGGATTCTTCTTTCCAGCACCATGAAATAAACTATTCCGGGGAGGCTAAGCAATGCACCTCTGGCTCCTTTTTGAAAATAAGAACTACTGTCCCCGACTTTAGTGGGACACTGAAGAGGCATTACAGCCAAGACAGCCTATTCCGCATCTCAGGGTAACAACATTACCGGGTAACAATGGTTGTTATGTCCAATCCACGACCAGAAGTCCAATAACAAAACACCACTCCAGTTCAGATCAGGCAGACCATTCCTCCCAGTCAGCCCCATCCAAGTTTCTCCATTATTGCCCATGTGAGCTTGGAAGTCTCCCAGTAGACGTATAGACTCCTGAGACAGAATCATTTCCAGGACACCACCCAGAAGGCCGGATACTCTATGCTGTTTGGTGCGTAAACGCACACAGCAGTTAGAGCCTTCCTCTCAGAGTGACTTGTACCCACATAGAAGCAACCCTCTTGTGAGCACCTCTAAACCTGGGCAACAAGTTATGAGAAGTTATGAAATAGATAGATAGATAGATCTGGTGTTTTTCAAGTAAACAAAGCTAAACACAACAAACAGCATTATTATTATATCAGAGACATAAGAAATTCACATTTAACAATTAATTCAATATTAAGTAGCTTCCCGTATTTGTTCCGATAGACTATAAATATTACAGATTTTTCATCAAGTGAACAACTTACATTACATATATACTGCATATACACAAACACACACTCACTAAACACCAGGCTGTTTCTCAGAGAATGTTTTGATGGCTACAGCAAATCTGTGTTGTAGGCCTATCATAATATTCAGCACAGATTGTATGCTTGGCTTCTGAGCAGAGCAAAGAACCTCATAGTAACGTAAATATTTATGTTTTATTAACCTTGCTTGGGTCAAAATGGTCCAAAATGCCAAGAGTTCTACTTTGTGGGCCAAAGTCTAATCTAGTCCATCAGTTTTCTGGGGATCCGGCATTCATGGAAGTCTTATTTAAGCTGACTCCTGTATATACAGAGTAAACATCATGAAATCCTCAGTGTATGCTAACAGGGCAGAAGGGGGCCTTGCATGTCTCAAAATGGATCACTGAGTATAAACAGTGTTAGGCAGGCCTGGGTAACAGTTACCTCCACTAAGGAGGCACTGTCACGCAGAAGTGGCCAGACACGGCGTAGTCCTCCTAAATCACAACACAATTAGATTTTGTCAGAGGAAGTGACGCTGAGCAGTTGTTATCACAAGGTACAGGTTTATGTAAAGCAACATTTTGCCAAACAAAACCATGTCCATGGATTGGCTTGATAAGATCCTGGTCTGAATGTCAGGAAGTTCACTAAGGCCTCATTGTTCAATACTGCTTTGGTCAGTTATTGTTCACCCATCACTCACAGGTCAGAGGTACTTATTCAACAAACATACTTTTGATTTTGAGTAAGTTACAGTTTAGATCAGGATCAATCTAAGTTACTTATCTTTCTGTACTTTAGCATGTCTGCTCTCTCGCTGTTTACCAGGTTTGCATGTGCTTTAAAAACAAAGCAGTTCTGTATATTCTTCTAAATGTGCACATTATATATACACATATGCACATTATATATATATATATATGGCTTTGTATAATGAATAATATTTTTCTCTTCATAAAAGCCCCAATTAAAATGGACCAGGTGTTAACGAGTCTGGTTTGATTCTTACATGTCAACAATGTCGGCCTGTTTGAAATGAACCACATGTGAAAGGAGATTGTTCCTGAATTTCATTTCTGAGACCAAACATTTCTGCTACTTACATAAAAGCAAAAGCCCATTTCCCATGAATGGAACTTAAAACAAAAATATAATTAAAGGTACATGCTTTGGATCACAGCTCTTGAAGGGCTGCCAGGTTTAATGACTTACTGTCATGAAACTTCAGTTGAGTTCAAGCCTGTCTTGCTTTCTATAGAAATCAGCGCAGCGCCATTTTTTTGCGTGCCATTCTTGTCGGGGAGATACTGAGGGCACTTCAATGACAAGCATTTTGTCTAAATGGCACACAAGCTCTAACCCTTCATCTAACTTCTTACATGATCATACCAAGCAGATCCCAGTTGTCTATGCATCAACAGACACTGAGCCAGGACTGGCCCAGGTTTGGCCTGTCTGGGCCAAAGCTGAGGTCTGGAGGTTTATCCCATCCTGGCTTCATGTTTCCCATCAGCAGCTGCCTCGTGCAATGACAAGACAGCACTTTTCCCACTACAAAGACCCGCTCCAGCTGCTTCCACATATGGGGCCACAGAGTGTAACAGTATGTGTATGTGTGTGTAAGAGTGAGTGAGTGCACCAACAACGATAACTCTAATGCTATGGGAACTTTGTTTAAGGTTGCTGCTATAATTTGACAGTTTTTATTGATAGGTTCTGTCTGTATGAGGGTATTTCTGGTCATCTTTATGCTCCTGTGCAGGTATAAATTATATCTTCTCATCTCTTTGTCTTCTTCTTTCCACCATGTGCTTCTGCAGATCCGTTAAATCCTGAGAACTGCTGTGAAGTCTGGTTGTATTGCTCAATTTAATTCACATGATGAGACTTAGCTGTGTATACAGAAGTAGAATTTACTCCCAGATCCTCTCTTGTGCACAGCATAGCGAGTTTACAAGCAAAGTTTAATGTAGACTGACCTGTTGACAAACTGAAATCTGAGTAGGAATGAATTCTGTGCTTTAGTGCAGAATGTGGCATGAGGGATTTGCCATTTTCCTGACATATATATACAGAAAAAAATAAAACTTCTTAGGCATTTGGAGGTGTTTATTATCAATGTAAACTTTTTTTTAACAAAAAATAATATATAGGCACACTTTACATATTAAAATAATGCTCTCCAGAAGAAATATGAACATCTCTACATTTAGTATAAACACATTCAGAGGAAAAATTCTTTATATTTATTATGTTCAGGCACTGAATCTGCTCCTGTGTCTTCCACCGTGTTAAGAATCAAGATATGTTATCGTTGTTCTTATTCATGTGAGTATGAGTTCAAAGCACCTAATAAGCAACATGACCAAATCTCTCCAGGCAACGCTTTGACTCACTCTGTGGTTTTAGTATAAAGAATAACAATCCCATTTTTAAATAAAATGATTAAAATATTATGAAATAAAATTAACATAAATGATGTGAAAATTGTGAAACAGGTTATGAACCATCTTCAGGCAATTCCTTCTCTTACAAATAAGTTGTTTGCACCTCTGACATTTGCATCTTAACACAGTCAATGAAAACATTCTTTAAATTATTTTTGATTTTTCTTTAGAGTTGGGGCATTTGTACCAGTAAACTATAAAAACTAAGTAAAAACAAAACAAGAGAGAAACCCAAAACAAAGTATTTAATCATATAAATTAGTTGTATACTTTATGTAAGTAAACATATCAAGCTTATCGCTTATTTTCATCACTCTTTTTTATGTACAATACATTATCTAATAATATATGACAGTAAATCTGTACAAAATTATGTAAAATATATAATGTATATTTAGTACAAAAAAAACCCTAGCAGCACAAGAGGATTATAAAACTTGAGATCACACTGAAGGTATGTAGGTATACGTTCAAATACACATAAAAAAAATGGTATTTTTTTTAAATTTCGGATTTTAAAGCAAGACCCAGATTTTGTGTGGATACAGGCTATGTGAGGACAGATGTTATGGATGGGTTCACATTGTTCTTCATCGCTGCAAAACAGCACCAGCAACACGTCCTGGCTATCGTACTCTGCAG